AATACAATCAAATGTACTGTTGTTTATTGAAATGAAAATTAAAAATCCATTACTATGTTTACAGGTAAGTTTCAGAATCTAGCAGGAGCACTATACGTTATTCTCCACCCCCTCCCATGCTAATTTTCAAGTATTTGATTTAGCTTTCGGGTCACGCGGTCATGTTACTTGGAACATAAACTTTTTTTTTTATTATTCACAAAAAGATAAAAAACATATAAACCCACTCAAAATTAAATATTCATAAAAGTTTAACAATTATTTAAGGGTATTTAAGCATAATCCACGTATCAGGGTTCAATGGAACGAACCACTGTCAGGCTCATAAGTAGGTGACAACTCTTGAGAGATATAAATGCAGCGTTTTGCTACATGAATGATAAATATACTTTATTTTCTTTATATTTCTTAAAAGATCTGATCCAACACCAGGTTTCCACCCAAGACCAATGAAGGATTGTGGATATTGTGTGGAAATTCAAGTTCAAGTCAAGTTTATCATCAATCGCATCACATGTGGTACATGAACAAACACCGCCACCCCCCACTCAAACATGGGAGGATCTGCGGTGGAAATGGTCTACTCTACAGCTACAAATACTTGGGTGTGCACCTGAGTGACAACCTCAGCTGGAGCAACACCACCACCAGTCTGATCAAGAAAGCTCATTGGAGACTCTACTTCCTCAGGCAGCTGAGACGAGCTGATCTGGGAAGCTCAGTCCTCACCTCCACGCTCACCACAGGTGTGCAGTGGAGAGCATCCTGTGCTCCAGCATCAACGTGTGGCATGGAGGCTGCACAGCTGCAGGAAAAAAAAGCTTTGCAGAGAGTGGTGAAGGCTGCACAGAAGTCTGTTGGAGTCAGCCTCCCCACCATCACAGACATCTACACCTCTGGATCATGAAGGACCCCACTCACCCAGCACAAACACTTTTTGCCCCACTCCCCTCAGGCAAGAGGTTGAGGAGCATTAAGTGTAGAACCACTAGACTGAGGAACAGCTTCTACCCTGAGGATGTTAGACTCATGAATCCCTAACCAGAATAATCACTGTGAAAAAAATAAGATAATAACAGTAATGCCACTTCAATTGGTAACATGTGACTTACATATGCTGCTGATTATCCATGCTGCTGATCTCATGCAGCTCACAATGAACTCACAATCCTGCCATCTGCAGAAGTTCTGAATTACAATTTGAATAATCCTGCATAGCTTTTGTTTAGCTCATCTATAATCCATCTATAATCTCAAACTGACTAAGAAAAATGCAACTGACTGATGTTTTTTTCGTGGTAATGTTTTGGATTTACCGAGACTCCCGTTGCTCACTTCATACAACACAACGAAACAACTAAAACACAACCTATTTAAATTTCTAAAGACATCTCCTCTGGAGGGTTTGATCTGCTTCAAACCCTCCTTTGAAAGCCTCCCCTCGTTCTCTTCAACATCAGCAACATTTCTCTCTTCAAGCTTGTGTTTTCCTGCACATGATAGCTGCCTCTGAGCCTTCCTCCCTGTCTTCCTCCCTCTCTCTGACCCCTGTCACAGCCAGTAAAGTTCCAATGAGCAGCTACATAACACTGCATTGTCTGATCAGGTGTTGTTGAGTAAGCGAGTTTGCTGCCCTGATCTCTTGGGGTCAGCTTAATGCCATCCTTTGCTGGATCTCTCCTTGTAACTCAGTCTGCTGCCTGCCGGCCGGGGCCTCTGTTTGTGCTCCCAACAGTCTGACCCCTGCCCCAGTGGATGCTTACACCTCCAACATACTACTGCACCTTCATACCAAAAGGTGCACCATTGCCACGGGATAAGCATGTTTGTGCTATGCCATGCATTCACAAGACAGCTGTTAGTGTTGCTATTTTTTCATGAGATTATTTCTCTAAATTGCTGCAAAGGTTTCCTCACCCTACATTTATGTGTATTCTAACAGAGTTCTTGTCAGTTTTAACTTAAAGAAAGATACTGAAGGTGAAACCGTAGCCCTTCCTCTTCCTTTTCAAGTCAGATTCCACCTTGAACAAAGCAAGAGGTGGATTATTGATTAATCACTATACATTAATGAGCTGAATTGATCTGAAAAGAGGGCAACAGTGCAGAGCGCTGATGGTGGAAGGGCCAACACTTCAAAGGATCTGTGGGAAGTTAAGGGATTGGGCAGGGCCCACGGAGGAGGGTGATGGGGAGGACAAAGGTAAAGGAAAATTAGGCTGTTCTGTCATTGGTCTCATTTTGTCCACAATTTGTACTAGGTGTGGGTACAGCAGAGTTTATGTTTGTCTCTCTTACTATTAGTATTGTAGAAACTCATAGTTTAATGGCAGTTAAACATAAAGAAACACTAAGATGGGTGATATTCTCCTCCTTAAAACAAAACAACAGAAAAGTAATTCAGCATTCCTTGAAGGACAGCATAACTCTCACTGCATTGCATGTCAAAGTCACATAGATCGTATGTGATCTGTTATCATTCAAAGTGTATGATGCTGTTGTCACACCAAATCTAAGCTCAATTTCTGCAGCGTTTTCTGAGTTACAGCCATGTTTGTGTTTGCCAACGTTAATTAACTGTGGCAGTCACCTTAAATTCATTTAAATCTGAACATTTATAACTTGTAGATGTGCATTGTCTGATTACAATCTGAGAGTTTCAGTAAAATCCATCAAGTGCTTCATGAGATATTGTGCTAACAGCCAGCCAGGGTTGACACCAACAGTTAATACCACATTTTTATTTTTTATTTTTATTTTGGCTGCTCCCTTCATCAGAGGTTGCCACAGCAAACTAAGTCGCATGAAGACTTGGCAAATTTTTTAATTTTTTTATGCCGGACACCCTTCCTGTCACATCCACAGACCACCGAGCTACCACAGCCCTCTGTGTGGAGCAGAGAGCTGCTATCTAGGGCACCCGGGGAAGCAGATGTGGGGGTTGAGGACCTTGCTCAAGGGCTCAGAGTGAGGCAAATGAGGATGGAGACAGGTGTGTGTGCTTCACCAATCCCACCTACTTTTTTTTTTTTGGATGTTGTCTGTACCGGGGAGTTGAACCAGCGATCTTCCAATCACAGGCCCATCTTCTCTAACCTCCGCACCACCACCCCCTCCCTAATGCCACAGTTTTAAATAAATCTCTAAAATGATTTATTGATGCTCACTGTATGTGTTAGGAATGACTCTTACAACAGTCATGCCAACATTTGGAGTAATATGTGAAAAACTGGATCAATTTGATCCATTTGTGTGTTTTATAAAGTTGCTCAGGTGTGGCAGCCATTTTGAATTGAACTGACTTCAAACATTAATCAGTTCTAGATGCACATCCAGTAATTTTTAAGATCTTCATTAAAATTCACCCTGTAGATCATTAGATATTTTGCTAACAGACACAGGCTATTGCCCCCATTTCACGGTGTTGGCTGATAAAATGGAGAATCTAAAATCCTGTCAGGATCTTGCAGCACAGACCAAATATCAGAAATATTCCCTGGCATGAAGGTATTAGCTTGTGCAAATGACAAACTGTTAAACATATTGCAGAGGACGTGTGCTTGTGTTGTATAATGTGGAAAACTGGTCCCTCATCTCTAAGCATTTTTCAAACATTTTTTTTTAACTTTATATATTTTATGTATCTCATGAAAGCTGCTGCATTTCCAATAATATTGTTTTCCTTTTATTAACAACTTAAATATTTGTTGTTATTGTTTAAGCCTAAATTGTCTTATTTCCTTATTCTTAATAACATCCACCTCTTGACTAGACTCTTTTATTTGTTAGCCTACAACTGTGTTTAAACGTAAAATTATATTACTTCTAATCGAATATTACTACCTTACTAAAGTAACATATTAATCTTGAATTACTCCCAGGATAATATTTGGAAACTAAAGCAATCTTAGCAAGTTTGATCGGTTCAGAAACATTTAAATGTATTGAAAATTATGCATTAAAGGTCTAGTATTTGCTGATAAAACATTCAATTATATTATTCATAATATTGGTTTTAAATTGAAACAACAAAACTCAGTAAAGTTGTTTGACAACATATTTTCTAAATCATAAGTAAATAAACAAAAACAAATAGAAACTATATTTGTACCATCCATCCATTATCTTCCGCTTATTCCGAAGTCGGATCGCAGATATTTGTACCAATACAAGATATATGAATACAGCTAACATAACTGTATGAAGACACCCTAGATCAATATAAAATAAAAGAATTATTTGAGAGAAGACACCTCTCCCATCACCTTACACAAACAAAGATGGTGCAAGATCTGTTAACACGGATGTTAAAGCCATCATGTGTGATATACATTTGTTTTAAAACTAGCATGTGAGCAGCCTAAAGGCTCCCACATACTCGGGCGTACTGTGTGTACTCCATGAGCCGCGCGGACTCTGCGCGAACTGTACGCAGACAGTTGAGTCTTCATACTTGAGCATACACCCTGATGAGCTGCAGCCCAGCTCTGCAGGCAAGAGGCGTTTACCTTTGGGACAAATTGAGATTGCCGATTGGTCATTTGCTGACACGCCTACTGGATTGATTGACAGGTTGCAAAAAACAAAACAAAACGAGAGCTGCCGGCATCCCTGGGTAGAGGCAGCTGGCAGCCCAGGAGCAGCGGTGTTCTGCATTTATATGTTGTTAATACAAAGTTTTAAAAATACAAATAAACAGGGAGCACTGGCCCTGCAGCCCACACATCAGACCAGCCCACCAGGAAATCTCCAGACCCTCCCGCAGCCACGCTGGACCTGATTTTATTTCTCTCATGACAAATTCCTTCATTTCTCACAATTTCAGTCATTACGTCAACGGACGAGGAGGAAGACATCGCTTGTCTCTTGGCAAAAAACAAAACAAAGCAAAAGGTCATTAAACCAGATCAGGGATGAAGAAGGGGAATTTAATACATTGGTGTCACAAACAAAACTGTCCGTCGCCGGGCAGTTTATTGTGCGACACAGAGTACGTGTACGCGGTCGTAAAAATTGATCTTTGCGTGGACATGGCTTGCAGATGTCCTTTTCGAGTCCGCATTGAGTCTAGTTGGGTACACGTGGACCTCTGCAGAGTGAAGTACGCTCAAGTATGTGGGAGCCTTTAGAGTGCCACTTATTTGTTATTCATTGTTTTTAACTGAACAGTTTAAAACAAAGTTTAATTCTGATGGAACTAAAGAGCTAATGGCTAGTCAGAGCAGAAAACAACCATCTTCCAACAACTCCAGTCTCAAAGGTTTTGGGCAACTTGGACTAACTAGTTAGCACTTCATTCTGGTCATTATTTAAAATCTGTCTCCAAACAAAACCTGTTTAAAGAGCTATCTATAACAGGTAGGATACTATTTGTTCATTCCATTTCCACAGTCCACTTCAGATGCTCTGAAGTGTTCCAGTAAACTGTGAACAGGAATATTAAATGTAATTTAAATAAAGGGTTTTAGAAAATGAACAAATGCCACAATGCACTGTTAAAAAAACTAAACATTTTCTCATAATTCAGTACACAAACTTTTTACAAATTCAAATATATTTTGAGTCTTTCTCCACATCATTGCGCCAATTTCAAAGCATGCAGCTCACACAAGGAAAGAGACTTCTCAGGACGAACAGTATTTACCTTTTTATGGAACCATAAGGATATCACATTAACTATGATTGATCTTATAGCTGTTTGATTCCTGTGCATAGTCATCACCCACCCCCACTCCACCCCCAACTTGGCAGTGCAACACCAGCCAGACAGCTGGTATTATTATGTAAACAGTCGGTTTTATAAAACCTAGGGATTGTCTGGGTTCAGCTGTAACGGATACAATAAATGTCTTTCAGAAGACAACTAAACTAGTTGTTTTTTTCTCCCTATACAGCATCAACAAACCTGTGGTGTTGGGTTAGCAAGACAAATGAGTGCATGATTTACGCTCTTCTTTATCAAGAGAATAAGAGTTGATCGGGTAACATGTTTTTAAGCAGCATCGCAAAGTTAACTGAAGAAGCAGTAAGAAGGAAATAGCCAGACCTACAAAACCATATAAATACAGTACAGTGTTGCATCTCCTCGCTCCAAATGAAAATGATTCTTTCAGCAACCTTTGCTACCTTCACAATCAAACATATTTTAATTTTGCATTATGGAGGCAGATAATCAAATTTTTTTTAAAAAGGAAAAGCTATTAGCAACAAATGTTAACAATAAATTAAAGTTGCCTTTATTGTTCGCCTTCTTTTATGCCTGAGTTTTAGACTAAGATCATCTTAAGGTGAGGAGGAATAAAGTAATAGCCATTTTGGTCAAACCTTGTAAATACTATGAGCAAACTCATGCAAGATTACAAAATCTTGCAAGAAGCATTCAGATTGTGCTGAGAATGACTGTCAGCTACTACCACATCAAAGTTGAGCTCAGTGGCGGTACAATAGACAGACTTATTGCCATTTTGTGTTGGCTAAGGTGCAGTCCATAAAGCTCTGAAAAGAATGAAGACGGGGAAGGCAGTAGGACCTGATGACATACCAGTTGAGGATTGGAAATGTCTTGGAGAGATGACAGTGAGGTTTTTGACTCAAATATTCAATGGCATATTTGAGGGTGAGAAAAATGTCTGAGGAATAGAGAAGACGTGTGCTGGTGCCCATTTTTTTTAAGAACAAGAGTGATGCACAGAGTTGTAGCACTTACAGGGGAATTAAGTTGATGCGTCACATGATGAAGATCTCGGAGAGAGAGTTGTGGAAACTAGATGTAAACGAGAGGTGACTGTGAGCAGCAGTATGGTTTCATGCCAAGAAAGAGCACCACAGACACCATCTTTGCTTTGAGGATGCTGATGGAGAAGTACAGAGAGGGTCAGAAAGAACTCCATTGTGTCTTTGTGGATTTAGAAAATCATATGACAGAGTGTCTAGAAAGGAACTGTGGTAGTGCATGAGGAAATCTCGAGGGGCAGAGAAGTATGTTAGACTGGTGCAGGCCATGTATAAGGACAGCAGGACAGTGGTGAGATGTGCTGTAATAGTGACAGATAGCTTCAAGGTGAAGGAGGGAGTGCATCAAGGATTGGCTCTGAGCCCCTTCTTGTTTGCTCTGGTGATGGACCGACCAACAGATGAGGTCAGGCAGGAATCTGCATGGACTATGATGTTTGCAGATGGTGAGAACAGGGAACAGGTGGAAGAAAATGTGGAGAGGTAGAGGTATGCACTTGAAAGAAGAGGAATAAAAGTAAGCCATAGTAAGACACAGTACATGTGTGTGAATGAGAGGGAGGCTGGTGGAACAGTGAGGCTACAAGGAGCAGAGGTCACAAAGGTGCAGGACTTCAAGCACTTGGGGTCCACTGTCCAGGAAAATGGGAGATGTGGTAAAGAGGTGAAAAAGAGAGTCCAGGCAGGATGGAGTGGATGGAGAAAAGTTTCAGGAGTTATTTGTGACAAAAGGGTGTCAGCAAAGGTCAAAGGAAAAGCTTACAAGACGGTGGTGAGACCAGCTATTTTGTATGGTCTGGAGACAGAGACATGAACAAAAAGACAGGAGGAAGAACTGGAAGTGGGAGAAATGAAGATGTTGAGGTTCTCCTTAGGAGTGACAAGGATGGATACGATTAGGAATGAGATCATCAGAGGTACAGCACAGGTTGAACAACTGGGAGATAAAGTTCGAGAGACCAGACTGAGATGGTTTGGACATGTCCAGAGGAGGGACAGTGGTTTGGACATGTCCAGAGGAGGGACAGTGGGTATATTGGTAGAAGGATGTTAGAAATGCAGCTACCAGGAAAAAGACAAAGAGGAAGGCCAAAGAGAAGACATATGGATGCAGTTAGAAAGGACATGGTGGTAGTTGAAGTGAGGACAGAGGACAGAGATGGAGGAAGATGGCTCTTTGTGGCGACCCGTGAAGACGGAAAAGCCAAAAGAAGAAGAAGTTGGCAAAAAGTTTGTCAGTTGTAGATACATATCTACCGAGTAAAATGATATTTTGCAACAAACGGGGCTGAGTCCAACAGTTGATGCCAAAGTCTTAAACTAAACTTTTTATGCAATGTGTAGCAGTAAAAGTATGTGCTGGAGATGATTCTCAGATAAGCACTAAATTTTAGATCAACGTTTGTCAAAATGACTTCACTATAATATTGTTTGGGCATATAAGGGTCAGTTGGGTGTGGTGACCATCTTGAAATAGGTTGGCTTTAAAAAGTAATCTTCTTTAGATGTATATCCAATAAAAAAATTCTGAGAAATTCACTGAAATTCTTCCAATAATTTACAAAATTCTTTGCTAACTCTATAAAGAAACAAACATTTACAGACACAAGCAAAATCACTACCACTCTTTCACATTTTGCAGCTGGCAATAACCAATTGGTGTTAGGAAAGTCATCATTGGGTCAGCTGCAATTAAAAGCTATATGCTCATGTAGGAAATCTTTCAAACTTTTGAGCAACTTTGAGGTATAAAATATTTACGGTGTAATGTCTTACTCTTGATGCAGTGGGTTATAAAGTTTAAAGCACATTTGTGTTGCTTCAAGTTTAAAAGAACCAACATTTTGATTCATTAAATAGACCTTTTGGAAATGACAGAACAAGCTGCATAAATTTACTTTAAAAATCCACTGTAAAGTTTTGATTATATCGCTTAGACAATATCTCAGTATTTAAACAAAAAGAGCATGAATCAGGACAGACGAAAACAGCAAAACAACAGAAGTGAATCACCTGGCCTTTTGTCGTTCCTGGTTTTCCGACCCCCGCATAGTCGAACTTTGGAGATCAGGACCAGGATCTGTTTTTGGCACAGGGACTTGTTGCTCTTGGGACAGGGCCTGCGCTTGTTGGCGACCGGTCGGTTGGTTTGGTCGTCCTTGACCGCCCGTTTCTGTCTGATGAGGGAGCTGGCAAGAGCTGCCATCTTCTCCCCCCTCACACCTTCGGGAGGGGGGGTGTTATACTTCTTTGTACCCCCTTTACTGGTTGGTCTTTTTTGCTTCCCTTAAAAGAATTAAAACTAGAGTAGGACAGATGTTTTAAAGAAGCCCCCCTGGGGAGACCAGGCTACTAAGTGGGTTAACAGGGAAGAGTTTAGCTTGATGGTTCCCTTCGAGAGAGCAGATCTGGAAGAGATGCAAGTTCAGATGTAGTCCTCTGTAAAGCCTCCACTCAGGCCAAAAATAAAAAAAAATCTGAACCAAACTGGGTGCAGGATGATCTGCTACAGTCACATTTTGCCTTTTAGTCTGAGATCACAGTTAGAACAAACGTCTTTTGTAAGGTGAAGACAGAGACACATTCCTAACCCTCTTCCCCGCTCATTGTCCCCATCAAAACGAACCTCGAGTTTAAAATACCGTCATGCAAAATAACTACTTCCAACAGACAATAGCAAAGGAACAAAGCTCAAATTATACTACATATAAAAACAGTTTTTCTGAAGAAAAGTGAGATCATCTTGAATGCTAGGAAACTCTTAAAAGAGCAAGAAAGCCCAAACTGTTTGTTGCCCATCGTGCAGTCCACAGAGGTCCAACTTTGCCTCCCATTTAACCCAGGCAGAGCGGAGAGTTGGAGCTGTAATCCAGCTGAGTTAAATCCAGAGGTGGAACAGCAGGCGGGACGCTGACAGTGTTTGTCGGAACACAGCCGGGAACAGAGCGGAGACATGGACACACACAGACAGAGGTTCCTCTTCTGCCTCCGGATGGCACACTCCTTTTCCCACAGTCCTCATCAATCCCCCCTGCCTCCCCTACAGCTCATTTTTTTTCTCTCCATCTCTCTCTCTCTCTCTCTCTCTCTCTTCCTCCTCCCATCCGAAGCCAGAGTGAGGGGATGCATGTGCGCGCGCGTGTATGTATTCCAGCAGCCACCATCAGTAGAGGTGACATTCATGAGCAAGACAGGGAATGGGAAGGTAAGGGGGTTTGGTTAGGAGGACAATGAGGGAGATGGGAAACAGCCACTTCACAAATACTATAAATTCATTTTGCAGAAATATTTTCTATTTATTTTAAGAAGCATAATTATTTTGACTGCTAGACTGAAACAGTGGGGGTGGATAGAGAGAAACAAAGCGCAAATTGTGACCGTTTTCTGTCTTTCTGAGAGGAACATAATTCAACTTCTTCTTCATCTTAATTCTTCTTAACATAATTCAACATGCATGTAAACCCCGCAAGTGTTCAGTTATGATGTTTGTCCCTAGCCTTTAAAGTGAATACCTCCACAATCTCTCTGTTGTTTCTTCTCTTAAGAGCTACACAGATGACGTAAGATATATAAAATAAATATGAATAAAGCAACATTTCTCTCTGATACACCTATTTACGGTTACATAACTGGATGCTGGCTAATGCTGATGCTCAAAGGGGAAACCAGCATGAACAGATCTAGTTAGACAGCTAAGGTATGCAAACTTGTAGTGGATCACCCTCTGCTCTCTTAGCTCCCCCAGGCAACAAAATACACGAAACAAACCCACAACTGTGCATGTGCAGGTACTTAAGCTTCAAGGGTTGAAACAAATGCTTCAAAAAGTTTGGGACAAGTTTAGATAAAGATGATATGAATAATGGGTGACATGGCGATGCAGTTGGTAGAGCTGCTGCCTCTCAGCAAGAAGGTTGCTGGATCGAATCCCCAGTGGTGGGATGTAACTAAGTACGATACAAGTACTTCATTACTGTACTTTACATTTTTAAAGTAAATGTACTTTACTTAGGTAGAGTTAAACGTGGGTACTTTCTACTTTTACTGCACTACATTTTACATGAAGTATCTATACTTTGTACCACACTACATTTCTATAATGCGTTGCATTACAAGTTAGTCTCGTTGCGTTTTTTAAAATTTGTTTGTTAGTTTGAAAATAACCAATGGCGAGAGGGGAGTTGGTCCATTGAATCACTGCAAAGTGGGAAGGTAATGTTAGACCCACCTTCAAGAAGAGCTGGACCAATGATGTATATTCTAGTATATATGTCATTGAGCTGGGCTCACCTTCAGCACAGCTAACACACCCAAAATGGATTCCAGTGCAGAGTCAGCCAGAAGATACGCACCACCCATGGCCTTATGTAGTAATATGGCTTGTCTGTGTTATTTACATGTTTTATTATTTAACTTTGATGAGCATTTTATGTGCATTTTCTTTGAGGCTGGGATTGCCATCCATGATATGGCCAGAGAGACTGACAGCTCACGCAGGTGTTCCCCATCAGCCGTAATGGCATGAAAGCCAGGAATGGGGAAATAAAAAGACCAGAATGACAAGCAGAAGGACAGACGCACACAGGAACCACCGAGGGGTTGATGGCACGGTGGCCGGGGAGCGCAATGACGTGCAACACCGCCGAGGAGCAGCAGCCGGGGACCAGCTGGTCGGTCAACAGAGCAGCAGATTTGCAGAAACTGAAGGCGCGGTGATTAAGGGCAGAGACAAGCGGGGGTAAGGACGCACACAAGAAACTAGCGAAGCTGGTCGGGCACGGTGGATCATGCACGGTTGGAGGGTGCAGTTGTCTGGGTCTGGTGTCAAGGTCGGATGACCGAGCATTGGAGATTGCTGGAGATCGAGGTCGCCACGGGATGACTAGGGGAGGAACAAGTGCCGGGAGATCACTGAAGGTCGAGATCACCTGAGAACGCCGTGTGAGGGCGAGAAGACCACACCCCATTTCAGCTAAGGCTCTGCTTCTTTTCCCCTCAGACTGTTATTGACCACGATGCCCTTTAAGTCTCTTTATTTGACAGAATTTTACTGTTTTTTTTTACATTTGGACTGCTTGCAGTGTTTTCCATTTGTTGTAATAAATTATTGTAAACTTCTACTGGCTGTTTTGTGAAAAACTGCTCACCCCTGTGATAAGTTACCTAATTTTTTCCCTTGTTTAACTAGGTGGTGTTGCCGATTATTTTAATTTTTTTTTCCTGTCTGACTAATATAAAAATAACGCCACTCGGCAGTTGACACTTATTGAAAGACTATTGAAATACTATTCAGTACAGCAGAACCTATTCTCTCTCCCAAAAGAGCCAGACTGGACTAAAAAAACTTTGAAAACCAACTTCTTCTGAACTTGAAGAAGAAATTATTGCTGCTTAAAAGGAAGAAGCAGATAAAGATCATGGATGGATGGTATGGATAATGCTAATGTGGTTGGGTTGCACAAATCAGCAGGTGTTCATCTTGCAGTCAATTCTTTGAAAATTGACTGAGTTTGAACAAAAGATTGTAAGATGGACAGCACCTCTCTATCTACTTGCATTGTATCAACGTGATGCCAAAATATTGCAAGTTTTGCAAGTTCCAGTGTCAGAGTCTAATCCTGTCTTTCATGTGGTTTCAAAAATTGGACTTTTCAATATTCCAAGACAGAAAAGTAATCTGGAACCCCATCCCCACACCTTTAATCTGACTCAGAGGGTTGAAGATACCTGACCAGCCCCAACTTCAAAATCCAATATGGCTGAGTCACGTATGAAAATATGTGCTAGCTTCAGAAACAAGCTTTTTAACGTTTTCAGTTTGCATTTTTGTAACCCAGTCACACATATAGTACTTTATAACCATTTTGAATGACATCAGAGGCTGTTTGTTTAGCTGCACAGAATGCAGAGGCTAGTACTGATAATAATTGTTAGCCTGGACACTGAGCATAACTGTTAAATTATTGGTATCTATGGTTTACTGAGTTGTTACTGGAATACATCATTCATGAGTTCCAACTTTGGAGGTAAAAAGAACGCAGAATTAGCACTAAGGGGTTAAATGTTCCACAACATCACCTCTAAAAAGTCATGTTATCAGTTAATAAGCATATAAAAAAGAAGTAGAAGTTTTTATGTTTTAGTTAGAAAAATGTCAGAAAAAAATGTCCATTTGTACCGCAGCATGCCTAGGAGTGCTTATTTTGTTTAGGTCTTAGCTTCAACTTCTGGATTCTGTACTTGTGTTTAAAGCTATGTTGATAAGAAAACATAAACAACTGGCAAACACCAAAAAGTTCAAGTCGAAACAAAACAAGTGCACCTAGCAGGCTAGACTCATTATATGTTTGAAGTCCTGCTGCTCCATGTGAACAAAAGGGACATTTTCCAAACTGAAAAGGAAATATTCACTGCCAAATGTATTTATTTTTTGTCCTGGTGCTGACTTTTATTCATTTACTCAGTTCTTAGCTTGCTGCTGTATGTTAAAAATGGATTTTATGAACTTTAGCTGTAACTATCATTTTAAACAAAGTAAGGTGACACCATGATTGTGTAAAAGTATGTAGGCAGGACTTTTGAAGGTACAGCCATCTCACTGGGACCTGTGAATTTTCTAATTTGAGGGCAGCCATGGGGTAGAGGTAGGGCAGCCGACTTGGAACCAGAATGTCATAGGTTCAACTCCCTGCCATGCCCACATGTCGTGGTGTCCTTGAGCAAGACACTCAATCCCTAAATGCTCCCGGGGTGCTTATATAGCTGCCCGCTGCTCCACCTGGGTGTATCTCACGTGTGATGGGTTAAATACAGAGAACTAATTTCTTTATTTTTCTTATTTTTCTTTGTCATCGTCATTGTCATCATCATCATCATGTTCAGGATACTGTTTAATATTTAATACACCATATTATTTTACATTATTAGGGTTTAGCGTATATCTTAGTGTATATCTTAGATACTTGTATGCTGTTACTTTTTATATTTTTGTTTTTGGGGTGCAACTGGGACCTTGAGTGCACAGTTTCATTCCACCTCATGTACCACATGTGATGTGAATGACAATAAAAAACCTAGAATCATCATCATCCCCATAATCTTGGTCCATCCCCACATCTTTAGTGTGTTGACAATATGGGAGCACTCATAAAAAGGATCATTTTAGCTTCACTTTTCTTCAATAAATGTACAAAATGACACATTGCC